AGGGGAGGGGAGGGGAGGGGAGGGGGGAGAGGGGAGGGGAGGGGAAAAGGAAAGAAAGGTACAGCCAACCTGAGAGTTATGAGGGAGTATCTACCTATTTGTCTTAGAAATGCCACCAGAGACCAGCCTAAACTAGGAGACACTTCTGAGGTTCACCGCAGCACATACTAAGAAACAGGCCTTGGATCAAGGCTTCTTGATGCCAGGGACGGAACAATCTCTCCCATATTCAAACACAACTGCAGGTAACAGTACACTGGGAATTTCTAGGAAGTTGTAAAGGAATGGGGCACGATGCCAGAAGCAGGAAGACAGTTTCATAAATGATGAGGGCATTCGTTCAAATGGACCCCCTTCATGCTCCAGTTCACCTTGACTCATACAAAGAACATCAGAGCTGGCAAGGGCTCCAAGATGGATGGTGACCCAAATGTGCAACTAACGTGCTCACGCTCTCGAGAGTGATCCCAGGGCCTCGTTAGACAGCCTTTCATTCTGCATAATGAGCACCGTACTGCTTGGAAAGTTAGACCTCGTGATGTATCCATGAACCAAAGGATTTTTTAGAAAGTCTCTATGGTGGGAATTCTCAGAAACCTTGGCTCTAGCACACCAAAATAACCAAGAGGAACATTAATTACTCAGTCTAACCACTAATCATGGGGTGCTAGAGAAGCACCTTCCTTAAGGCTTGACACATTCTAGTTCTCCCAGAAATATTTTCTAATAGTTGTTGAACAAGTGAGTGGATAAATAAATGAATGTAAAATCTTCCTCATAATTCCACCGTCAAAAGAAAATGAAGCACGTTACTGACAGCAAGCTTAATAAATGAATAAATTCAAATCAGCTCTCTGGGTGATTCATACAGAGCCCCTGGGCTCATGTTGGACCCTAGTTACTGAGAGGTGAGACCCCAAATCTTCTCAGGGTCTGCCTTATTTTCATTTTAAGCTGCCGGGTCATGGTTTCCAAAAACACTGCTAAACTTTTAAGCCTACAGAAATTAATTTGCTAAGATTGAGCTGGGTTTTGTCCCTCTAGCCAGGTTATGGGGGGGGCGGTCACAGTACGAGGACATGTCCATCTTCTACTAATTCTCAGGCTACGTGAGATTTAGGGATCTTTCCAGACAGATTCTTTGCATGGAGCAGAAGGTTATCGAGATCTTTAGCTCGCTCAACACCCCTATCATCTGACTCTCATCCAAGACATTTAGAATGCATTTATTCTTAGACACATTCATCTTCTTCTCCAGTTTCTTTGTTTTTGGTCTCATTGCTTCCAGAAGCTATTAATTTCTTCTTCTTCTTTTTTTTTTAAATCTAACCTTGAATCAAAGGGATTGTTACTTTCTTTAAGAATTACAGCCTCTGATTCTTTCTTTCTTTGTGCTGAGCACATAGAATTGACCAATAAATATTCTCTTTACACTTAAAGGAAAACTTGTAAAAAAGCAGCCTACTGGGACTGAGTCAATTTGGAAACTAGAGAAAAGGGAAAACATTACTTCTAGCTTCCCTCTTTAACGTGGCCATCAGGGCATGCCATCTATCTCCAGTACTTCTCAAACTTTTCAACTGAACTAATCCTCCAAGGAGCGAAACGTTAATCGATGCTATTGATTCTTCCTGTGGGGATGAGCCCAATTTGGGGGAGGGGTGAAATTAAGAGCAGGGAGGAAATTCTCAGTAGCAGCCTCCCTAGATGGCTTTATTTCCCAGGCCAAAAAAACAATGTGAACACATTTTTGAGCGAAGGCTCTTTCTGGCAAGTGCTACCAACTTGTAAAACAGGCAGGACAATGTGGGTATGCAACTATGTGACTTACTGCAAACATTCACTCAACAAGATCCAATGGGAGATGCAAGAAGCAGAGCCCAGAGCCTCGCAGGAGTGCACAGTCTCACGTGGGTCCTTTTCACCCTGCACCACCCCTTCATCTAAAGCACACACTCTTCCCCAAATGTTCCTTCAACCTCTTGCACTGAGATGGAGCTAGCTGGGCCACACGTTGCTCTGTGCCTATTTCCTATTTATTCCTTGTGATATTTTCCATTTAACGTCATTAGAATGGGCATCTGGGTACATGTCTGAGAACTGGGTATGTATTGCCCCTATACTCTCTAACATCAGCTGGACTTTTCTCCTTCAGGCCAAACTTTATCTGTGTTTTTAACTCATATAACAGGGAGGAGCCAACACTGTCCAATTTTCTCCTCCTGTTTTGTGTGTCCCTCCACAGGTTTAGAGTCCTGAGAATACTTGCTAGAATGTATTGGCTTCCCACACTCCATTTCAACTAGCCAGGCCTGATACTTTCTTCTAAACCTGAAATCTCCTCTCTACATTCCCAGGCTGATCCCCTCCGCTCGTGCAACAATGGGTAGGTGGCCTAGTCTACAGCCACTGATGTAAGTTGACATTTAATTTGTTCTTTTATTTTTTCATATCTATTTTTCATTGGCAGGTGGGAGATCTCACAATTAATTTGATGTCTGTCCCTTCTTTAGTTTCAAAATCCATGTAGATTTCCTACTCGGCTACCATACATGTCTGTGTGTGTCTCATGCACATAATGTCTTAAGTCACGTTCTAGCTAAATTAATATCCCCTTCCCATCTCTAAGGAAAATTGAGACTCCAGAAGATGAACCAAGTTTACCTCCAGGCTTCCTCTTTCCCTTCACAGTACTTCAAGTTTTGGGGCGGAACAGAAGGCCCAGTTTAAGAAGTAAGATGTTTGATTGCTAGGATCCAAAAATGTGACACTTACGGGTTTGATCCTTTTCAAAAGACTGAAAATTCATGATGCATAGAATTCTTTAATTTTTCTGGGGCTCGAATTAGACATGTAAGCATGAGTTTCTAGGCTAGGGGTTGGAAGAAAGTCCAATAGACCGGAATGGAGCTGGCCAGCAGCCCAGAACCTACCTCCTAACTGAGCTTCCTTATTCTCTGGTTGCCTCAACCGTTGGGTAAAGGACATTCAGGAGGGTCAGAGGCCTACCGTATATCCTTCCCAGCCTTTTCTCTGACTGTCATACATAATAAATACCTCTCAGCTAAGACATTTGGCTTGCACCTCAAAGCTATCATTAGATTGATGTCACTCCTCCTTTCAAAACCTGCAATGACTTCCCATCAGGCTGAGAATGAATCACCCTGTGTGCTCTGGCTCCCACTTACTTCCCTGACTTTATTCCTGGGCATTCATTCCTCTGATCACCAGATTTAGCCACTGTGGCCTCCTTGATGTTCTCAGAACAGGCCAAGAGGCACTTTCTCTGAGTATCTTTTCCAAAAAATAAAACAAAACAAACAAACAAACCTTAGCACCCTTTAGCCCCTTCCTTTTTTATGGCACATACATCACTCTCTTCTTCACGTAAGGTATTTAATATTTGTTTACTGTTCATCTTTCCTGCTTTGCACACATTCTCTATAGAGCTAGGACTCTTGTCTCCTCTGCGCGGGCATGTAGGGAGTGTTTGTTCCATGAATGGAAGCTGTGTGAATCCCCACTGAAGCCGAGATAAGAAGGACAACTGCCGCACCAAAACACCCCGAGAACCAACCTGAAGCATTGAAGCAGTACGTGTCATACTGGGAGTTTTCAGAGGAGGGGACGACGTACACCCCTGTGTTGTTTGCTGCACAGATGGAGTTGGGGTGGATCCGGGGGATCACCACGAGCCCTTCTATAAACCCATACCTGTGAAAGACAAACAAGAGGCCATCAACCTGCGGGGCTAAGACAGGAATTTCATAACACCCCATCAAGAGACCTTTAACTCGGTGCAAGGCTCCATTCAACTCACCCCCAGGGATGGTAGAGGTTACAACAACTGAGTTATGTGACATCCAAGAATAACAGCACATGCCAAGAGTGAAAGAGATCAGCAAGGTTAATAGAGACAAAGGGATTTTATTTAGAGACCTACGGAAAGCTTCTTTTAAAGAAAAAGATTCGTGAAAGAAAAACTAGGACCAAATAAAATTTGGGGTCAACAGCATTGAGTGGGTTTGAACAAGCAGAAGGAAGCCTGGGTCCCAGAAGGGAGAAGTCAAGATGGCAGATTCATGCTGGCTTTCGGTTATTTTCATGGTTTCCAGAAAATACATATAATGGTTGGCTCCCATAGATCAGAAGAAGGGGTCTTCATCTCAGTGCATGAATTTCAGACCAGCCCCACTTCCTACCCTCCAACTCTTTCTTCCTGGCTTCACCTTTCCTACGAGTTCCTCTGTCCATACTCATGATTCTGAACACAAAGCCTTATTCACAGGCCAAGTACACAGCACAGTCTGTGTCCTGAGCTTCCCAGGCATACTCCTACTGCCAGCAGAAATAAATTAACTGTCATTACAATGGGAGTAACAGCAATTAAGTAAGCAGATAGCCATGGCTCACTAAGCTCAGGAACTTTCTAGAAGCAGCACAGCTAGAGAAATGTTTAGCTCCTCTTACCCTCACCCCCACCAAGGTGTTTCTAGGACATTGTTACAGCCGGGGACCTTTTCAGACACAACATCCAGAATGCTGCCTCTCTGAGCAGTATCCTGGTGACCCAAAACTCAATTATTACATAATTTTTTTGTAATTTTGAATAGAAAATGCCTGAAATAAAAAAAAGAGAGAAGGAGAGAGATGTGGGCTAAGAAAATATGGTGATGGACAGGGCAGATAGACAGGAAGAAGCTAAACCCAGCAGGTTTTTGAAAATGCAAAGCTGGCTAAAATACACGGCGTGGATTTTTTTTTTTTCCATTTTCCTGCCAGGGGCAAGAGTACAGAGACCCGCAGAAACGTCTGCAAGTCTGAAGTTTCTCAGCACACAGAAATCATTATGTCTGTGTTGCAATTGCAGCTTGAATGACTAATTCCTCCTCTGAACGGACAGACTGGTTTCCCCAAGGTCTCCTTAGCTTGGAGGGGGGAGGGGACCCAATTAAATATTAATAAGTTTTCATGTATCTGAAGGTTGCTACTGATCAGGGTGGGGCAGACTGAGAGAGTAGCTGCTGAGGTTTTCTCCCAGCCTGTGAGACTCTGCCATCGGTCCTGTGGCACATCTCTGATTCATCGCTACCCAGGAAAGTTATGAAAATGAGTTTTGCAACACTTAATACCAGTTCGGAGTGAAATGGCGGATATCTTCAGCACGGCTTTTCCTTTTCACTTTATACGTAACGCTCCTCAGTGGGCCTCCTCCCCACCCCACTCCTGCCAAGTCAAGTCAACAGGTCCGCGTATCACCAACATTCTAGAATCTAACGCCCTCTTTCTGTAAGTCATCACTGAGTTCTTGCCATCTCATGTTGCCGGCCAGTGTTGCGTTGTGTGACTTGTGAGTTGGGGATATTAAAACTTAGACTTGATGTATGTGCAGCTGGAGTAAGTTACTGTTCCCAAAGGGGAAAGAAACGTCCAGCAAATCCGGGAAGCATTCTTCCCGCCTTTTTTGCCTCCAGGCGCTTTGCTTGGGAGGACTTGGTCATGAAAACCTTGTCCCGGACTCAGACTAAGCAAGACCAGAACCCTGCCTCGCGTGTGGCCCAGGGCAAGATGCAGAACTTCTCTAAGCCTCCATTGCTTCATCCGTGAAGTGGGCTGATGATATCGACTCACAGCAAGGTCAGAGGATTAACGGGGGGGGGGGGGGGGGGGGGGGGGGAAGAAGGCCTCTTGTAAGAGCCTCACGACTGACTGGCTCGTAGCAGCAGTAAGAACTCCGTGGGTTCTCAGCATATGAGAACATCTCTGTATTGCGCAAATACGCCTTGTCTACATTTCGCAATCAAAATTCAGCTTACTAAATCTCCTTTCTTAGGCCAGTGGCCTAGTCCGGGCCACCGTTAAACAATTAGCCTTGGGAGCAGAATAAATGGCTTGCTAATCGGCCTCTGTTCACTGCAGCCTCCAGCGCAGGTGCAGGAGCTTGCAGAGTTTTCTCCCTCTCTCTGTGTCCATCGGCTCTTTGTTTTAGGGCAGGACTGATCAGTAGAGTTTTTTTAGGATGACAGGAATGTTCCATAGTCTGGGGCACTCATACAGTAGCCACTGGCTGCTGGTAGCTCATTGAAATGTGGCTGCTGCTAGGGAAGAAGGAAAGTTTTCGTTGTAATAATTTTAATTAATGTTAAGTATAAGTCTCCACATGTGGCTAGTGACTACCACATGAGGCAGTGCAGTTTAAGATGAAAGATTCCTTTTCCCGTTCAGCAAAAGAGGGCTTAGCCATTGCTCATGTGGGTACGTGACTCTGTGACCAAGGATGGGGGACAGACGCATTTAACTTATAGTTCATGCTTTCCAGCTATGTACCCCCAAAGTGCATCAATGTACACAGTTACCATTCAATAAAAAAAAAAAAAAAAGAGTTCTGCAGCTTGACTTAGCAAAGGCTATCTGTGTGCACTGCAGAGAAAGGGGAACCATGTCACCTACAGACGCTGCAGAAGCACAGCCTGGGGTAGAGATGACCAGACCTCTTCTCCTAAAAACAAACCACACCCAAACACTTCAGGGTGGTGGACCCCACGGCTTGTGCTCCTCCTGCCCCACTGGGCCCTCATCACTGGGCCACTGCAAATTCCAAAAGGAAGGCCTCTGCCTGTTAGGATTTCCCTGGAGCCAAAAGATTCGATGAGGAAGGTTCTACCGAGAGAGCACTGAGAACCTCACAGGCTTCCTAATAATAGTGTATCTTAATATAATATTTCTTAATAGCTTTCATGCCTTTTTTACTTTCTCAAATCAGAGCAGCAGAGAAGAGAAACAAACAAAAAAGAGAGAGAGAGAGAGACTGTTGTTTGCAAAATCTTCCTGGAGCCAGGTCTTGCCGGGCCAAGACTCTCCCAGCCACATATTTATTTTAAACACTGTTATTTGCTTTGCATTTTCTTGTGATTCCAACAATGATACTGCAGCTTCTTCAAAGCCAAGCCAGCGCTGCGGAAGAAGCATGTTAGGCCGGGAGATTCCAACCAATATGACCTTTAATGGCTTCCTCTGGGCTCCCCTCTGCCATGAATGACTCATAAAGGTGTCTTCAGCCGACTTTAAGTCCTGGTTGTTCTACAGGTTCCAGACTGACTTGGCCAAATTAGTAGGTGGGGTCAACTCTTTTGTCAATTATTCATTCAGCTGTAAGGGAGGAGCCTTCGGGCTCCAACCTCCCCTTCCCTGCCCCCCTCGGGCCGGGCTGGGCCACCAGCTCTGGCTAGTGCCTGGGTGCTGGTCCCTTACCTGCAGGTCTCAAAGCCAATTTCCCGAGCATTCTCCATCTGCTCCAAGGTGGGCAGGGTGCTGTTGAAAGCCTTGCAGAGGTCAGCTGCCTCTGTCCGAGAGATGCTGTAGCGGCCATTTTTCTCCACATGAAATACACCTGAGTAGCGGCAGGTTATATTTAAATCTGTGGGATGAAACAGAAATGTTAGATTCTTTTGCATAAATCATTTGGGAAGAACAAGAAGTTCATTTTAGGATAGACTCCTTAAAAAGCCAAATACACTTCGCTACTGGCCAAAACCTTCAAAATTCGCTCCAGCATTGCAATGCGCCGTTAGGTTAAGCTCGGGTCAGAGATAAGCCAGTTAAAGGAGCATCGCTCTTACATTCTCACCACTGGTCTCGCTGTAACAAAGGTTTCAAAAGCGTATGATTTATTTCTGACTATTAAAGTACTACAAGCTCGTGGAAAACATACGTTCAGGAAAGTAGAGAAAGAAAAGAAGTTCACCGCTAAGAAAACCGTAGCAAACACTTTGTATCTTCTTCCAGTCTTTTTACTGAATACATACGGGCTCCCACACACATGTATATGGCACACATACATGTTTGCATAGTTGAAATAATACTGAGTATATAGTTCTGGTGTTAGGAGTCTTTTTTGTACTTAATCTTGTATTCTGAGCAGTTTTGACAATCAAGTGGTATTGCTCCCTGGCTTATAACCTCTGATAGCTTCTGGTTGCTCTTGGAATAAATTTCCTTATCACAGCCAAGGCCAACATGATCTGGCTCCTGTGTCCCTCTCCAATGTCAAGGTAGCCTCTGAGCACAAAGCTTTCCTTTCAATTCCCTCCGACACTCTGAGCTCTTTCCCACCTTAGAACATCCATGTCTGCCTTCCCCTCTGTCGCCTGGGTGGTTCATTTTTTTTTATTTTTTATTTTTATTTCTTATAGCATAACTGTGTACATTAATGCAATCATGGGTACAGTGTGCTGTTTTCATATACATTTTGAAATACTCTCATCAAACTGGTTAACATAACCTTCATTTGTTTTCTTAGTTATTGAGTTAAGACGTTCATACTCTGCTTTTAGAAAGATTCACTTGTACCCCTGTAAGATAAACCATAGAGGTGACCCCATCAATCACCCTCCCTCCCCCCATCCACCCCCTCAAGTCTCCCTCCCACCCCCTTCCCATATTCTAAGGCTATAATTAGGTTATGACATTCCTATAAAAGCTATGAATTAGTTTCAAAGTAGGGCTGTGTACATTGGATACTTTTTCTTCCATTCTTGAGATATTTTGCTAAGAAGAACATTTTCCAGTTCCATCCATATAAACATGAAGGAGGTAAAGTCTCCATCTTTTTTTAGGGCTGCATAGTATTCCATGGTGTACATATACCACAATTTATTGATCCATTCGTGGGTCGATGGACATTTGGGCTTCTTCCATATCCTAGCAATGGTGGTTCATTTTTGTCATTCAGAATTTCAACTCCACATCCCCTAACCTTAGAGTCCTTCCCTGAACACCCTTCCCCAACCACCATTTCTCCCTCTCCTCATTTGGTTGTTGTGTCTTCACAACAACATACTCATCTATTTGTGCATGTGGTTACTGTCTGTGTCTCCTTGTAATAAAATCTCCAACATGGCAACAGTGCCCAACAGAGAGTAAGGGCTCAACAAGTATTTACTGAACAAACAAATGACTCATTGACATTTCCTCAAAAACACACTTTTAATCCATTGACAAGCTCCAAGACCAGCCATTTCTCCTCAGAGTTAATGGCATTGAAACTGAAACCAGCTGCTATCAACTGCGTGAGGAATCATACACGGTCTGTTGTGAGCTTTACAGATAGTAATCTGAAATCTCAGTGGGAAGCTAGAAATCATCGTGTTCTGCTCGATCCTGTGTAACGATCTCAAGAGACTTCAAAGACCTTAATTGAAAATTCATTATTCTCCTGGAACTCTATTATCCTGTTTGCTCTTGAGTGAACTCCATATGGAAAGGTTAAGTCACTGGGACTGTCCTGGGGAAGCCCTTCCTTGGGTCTTGGTGACAGTCTCTCTCCAGGGAGACAGGCTGATATTGTCTCTAGACAGTGGCCCAGGCGCCAGCCCAGGCACCACTGTGTTAGTTAAGACTCCATCTCTTCCTTGCATAGGTCTGAGAAGACTACTTATTTGCCACTGAGAGAACTGAGGCTCAGGGAGGTGAGGTGCCCAAGGAAGTGAGTATTTCTATCGGAGCCTACGGTCTCCTTCTTGGATCCCAGTTGCTTTATTCTATGTCCCTGAGCTTTCAGAAGTAAGAGAGACCTGTACTGCCGTGTCCCGGGTACCCAGCCCCTCTGAGGTTCTGTGTTGCATCACCTGCACTGGAACCCTGAGAGGTGAGTTTTATGTACATTATGTCTTAGTTATGGGTGAAGAAATTGAAGGTCAGGAAAATTAAACAGCTTCCCTAAGTCACCTAGCTCTTCAGCAGAGCTGGAAAGCCACCTGTTTGACACCAACTCTGCTATGCAACTGACAAAAGAAGAGAGGGACAGCTAAATGACTGTTAGATAATGACAAAGACAGCGTCATTATTACTGAACTGTATGGGTGACAATTGCCTTCTCCTTCCTGAGCAGGAAACAGGTTCCAACCACTAGAAAACAGTGTGCGATGACTGCCAAACGAGATAAGAGAACTGTTAAAAACCCTACGTTATCTAAAAATAACCACAAGAAATAAACAACTAGAGTTTGAAAAAAGCAGAAGCCAATATCAATTTTTTATTTTTATTTTTATTTTATTTTTTTGGCCGGGGCTGGGTTTGAACCCATCACCTCCAGTATATGGGGCCAGCGCCCTACTCCTTTGAGCCACAGGCACCGCCCCCAGTATCAATTTCTTTTATCTCTTGTTTGCATCATCAGCAGGTGAGTGCTTAGAAAACAACCCAAAACATTAGAAGTAAGTGAAATGGGGGAGACCTGCTTCTGCGCAGTCAGTTCCTTTTCTGGTCTAATGGCATCCTCCTAAGACACGCCACACTTGGCTGACAAGGCCCCAAGAACACACAGGGGGAAATGTTCAAGGCCTTTGCAATACTGTTTGTTTTTACTGACATTTCAGGTTTGGCCTCAGTTGGCCAGACTTACAAAGGGAAACTGTCACTCTGCATGACAGCCCTTCCGGAGCCTCTCCTTGTCCAGTGTATAAAAGAAAAACAAAGCATCCCAATCAGCTAACTTGGAGGTGACACTGCCAGAAGCTGCCGGATGCCACGAGTGGCAAGCTACTGGCCTGCCTCGACCCAGGTGCTTGCCGTCACTCAGGTTAAAAATAAAGTCTGAGGTATGGACAGTGGTTGGGAGCTAAATAGCAGTTTCTTTCTTATTAAAATCAATTCTATAATAGCCGGCCACCTGGAAGATGGAATATGCAAATGTAAGGGGAACCAATTCAGGCTGAGACTTTTGAGTAAAATCCCTTGAGTTTCCCATGCACCAGCTGAAATAACTTTATTGCCAACACACGTGTGCATTGTGTGAGTGTGTCTACATGTGCGTACGCAAGTGAGTATGTGGTTTTTATGCAAGTATGTGCAGGTGGTCAGCCAAGATAGAATGAAACAGATAAACTCAACCTTCGGCCTTCCTGGAGCTTCAGACAGGGCTCAGTGTATTATAAGTATCTGCAGAGGGCTGCTGAATGAATGAAGACGTTCTACACAAAGTAAACCTTCCACAGCGTACATTGATGTTCATCTCATGAAAAAGTCCAACTCGTAACCATGATGGCATTTAGCTAGTGAAGAATTGCAATGATCACACCAAATTCTTCATTTTGGGTCAATTATCCTATGGGTGTTCACAATGTCCCTCCTGTGGGTCCCTCTTGTCTTAAAAAGGGCCAAAAGCTTCAGGGCAGTGTATCATTCAAACCTTGATAATTTATGAAGACATTCCATCACTTTCTTTAACATGTGTGCAATCCAAACTATTACCCCTGAGGGTATTAAAAATACCAACAGCAACAACAGCAGCTAATACTCACCGTGTACTTATTATGCATATGACAGGCACTCTTTTAAACACTTTAGAATTATTAACTCATTTTATCCTTAAAACACTCCTAGGAGGGGTAATATTATTATCCCCACTTTCCAGATACAGAAACTAAAGCACAGAGAGGGAGAGAGGAAAAGAGGTGGTAATGGCAGAGCCAGGATTCAAACCCACCCAGTCTTGGCACCAGGACCCCACAGGCTTAACCACTGGGCTTTGGCCACTTTTTCTGACCTCTCAACCTCCCAAATGCACAGCTGCCAATATTCCCAAGGTTTGAGGAGAATTAAGGTAAAGGTGAGGTGTGAGTAGCCAGGGACCACAGGACACTGCCGGACAGAGCGTCAGGGTCTCTGGTGGTGGTGCTGACCAAGCTGCCAACCACTATAGAGAGGGGGGAGTGCTCAGATGTCTGTGTGTCTCCCCTGAGAAACAGAGACCTCTGTGATTCCAGATTCACTTTGACTCAAGAGGCTAATATTAAACGGCTCTCAATTGTACAAGCCCTTCCAACTGGAAATGAGTCAAGAATGTTTTCCGTTGAGTCCTCTGGTCTCTAATAAATCTCCCGTATCATGTAATGAGGAAACAGTCCCAAGTCCCTCCCTCTGGAGAGACAGAATGGGCTCAACGGAAAACATCGACGGTTTGAGGCCACTTTGGGATCCTGAGAGGAGCCTCCCTGAGGGAGAAACACCGCTGGACCTTTAGAGGCTCATTACCACAGGGCTGTGGGCAGGACAGGGGGCCTGCAATCAAAAATTCTGGGATTCGGCTCCAGTGCCTGTAGCTCAGCGGCTAGGGCACCAGCCACATACACAGGAGCTGGTGGGTTCGAATCCAGCCCGGGCCTGACAAAAAAAAAAAAAAAAAAAAAAAAAATTCTGGTATTCTGAAATTCTGGAACTTCCCTGTGTGCTTCATGCCAATAAGAATTACATCTTTCTTATATCCCTCCTACCTAGTATAGCCACTCATGGTAGGCAAAGGTTGAATGAATGAATGAATGAATGCTCTCTTTCTGCCCGTCCCCAGGCAAGCAACTTATGGGGTACAAAAGGATTACCTATCAGGTGGCTTCCCCACACCCTATCTGAAAAAATTAC